TTTGATCTAGGCCCTCATTTGGTTTTTTGAGTTTTGAATTTGCAGACATTAGGGAACTCATTTCTTTGGATGATGTTATGGAGGAACTTGGATTGGGTCCAAATGGTGGACTTATTTACTGCATGGAGTATCCTTTTCACTTCAGATTCTCTTTTGATTTTTAATCCCCCGTGTAAAAATGTGTAATTCTTTGTTGTTTCTTGATGGATTCTGTGGCATGTTTTAATGGTATGATTTTCAGGATATGATTGCACACAATTAATTATTTCGGTGAAAACAATCTTTATCTACTAATTATAGGTTCAAGCAGGAGCTGGTGGTACCGAGAGCATGGACTGGGCTTCAATAGTCATGCAGATGTATAAAAAGTGGGCTGAACGTCGAGGCTTTGGAGTTTCCTTTGTGGATGAAATGCCTGGCGAGATGGTAGGAATCAAGGTTCATGTTCTTTCAACCTTTATGTTTTTAACATTTAATATACTTTTTAATGTTGTTAATGGAGTCTGTATGAGCAATATTGCCTCTTGGACAACAGTTTATTGTCGTTTTCCTTTGTCATAAACTTGGTTTATAGGAAGTAGAATGTATTCCTTAACCAGTGCTTTGTGTTTTTTATTTTTTCTATTCTTCAATTCTGGAATTATAAAAATCATAACGGGTATCGTGCAACGCACGATCCACACTAGTACTTAGAAAAGCCATGTAAACGAATCCCACGAATAGAAGTCCAGTCGAAATATTGCCACGATTCAAGAACTTTTTACTATCGCCAGAACCCCTTTTCAACTCAAAACTAACACCAAAACCAACACCAACTCCTGTTGCTAATAAAAATGCTACTACCTGCCATTAAATTGCCAATTTACAACATAAATTTCACTTTACATACCCAAAAAGTGCCTTATATATCTTTTTGTTACGTTAACTTTAACAGGTAAGAAGAGTTCGAGACCTTGTCTCCATAAAAATCGAACACTTGCAACCATCCATTACGTATCAACCTCTTTTCTTTGACCACATTGTATATCGCAAATGGTATCTGAATCAGTGTATACACAAATCCTAGGCCAGCAGCTGCCACTACATACCTGCACTATACATTTTAAGGAGGAAAATTATNATGCATTCTTTGTGTCAAATCATACTTTTTTTGTGGTTGAAAATGAAGAAAAAGTTATTGATGTGATGGAAAATATTATTTTATTGATGAATGTGTGGTTGAAAATTAGTAGAAGAATGAGAATGAATACCAAACGGAGGCTAATAATTGTATTCGTGATAACATGCTCTATACATATCAACTAATTGCATTGCCAATTTGAAATAAGTAGAGAATTTTGCCGCTTAATCTTTAATTTTACATTCTTCGATTAGTATGTTCCCTTGCTCAAAGCACTATTAGAATCGAGCATACTCTTGGAAAAACATGATCTTGGTTTTAGAAAGAAATCTTTTTAATTGATTACAATTAAAAATAAGTAAGATTAACCTTGATTTCTTGAAAATATGAAAATTCTAATACCAAATGGATGCGAAAACTGTTTGCAAATCCCTCCATGATTTCAGGGATCTGAAAAAAAAAAATACATCTACACAATCTTTTTGTAATTCTAATTCTTTAGTAATTAGTGTTAGATATTTATATAATAAATATAATATGTGAAATAAATAATTAATTCAGATGAAGTGC